CCCCTCTCAGGGGGGACATTGCAGTTTATTAGTGATAACGGGGAATTGAGTTAATTCAACGCATGTGTCCGCCGCAAAGTAGCGTCGAGTAGCTGGTAGCCAATGTCCAGAATGGTTCGGAGTGCAAAGGGTTAAATATATTTTATTGACTTTTTACAGAGAGGAAGAGAGAGGGATAGAGAGTTAGAAACATCGATGAGAGAGAATCATCGATCAGCTGCCTCTTGCACACCCCCACTGGGGATGTGCCGGCAACCAAGATACATGCCCTTGACCGGAATCGAACCTGGGACCTTTCAGTCTGCAGACCAACGCTCTATCCACTGAGCCAAACCTGTTTCGGCACACACCCAAGCTTCTTAAACACTCTTCGTCCTCAGTCTCTTTGTCAGAGACCTCTTCACCTCTGTCACTTTCCTTCTGCTATTGACCTTGGTATCTTCACAAAAATAAAATGTTCTTTCTAAAGAGATCAGACTCTAAACGGGTCTTTGTGTCGGCGATACACTTGCAAGTCTTGAGATGGAACACACACAAGTGATGTGGAGGCGGCAGAACATCAACCCCCGCTGACAAACAATCACAGCTGACCCTGCTGCCCACAGATGACAAGGGCTCTGTGCTGACTCCTGGCAGAGCTAGCTGCCTTTGTTGTGTGTGGAGCCTGCACTGTCTCTATGCGAGAATGTGGCTCTTCCATAAGGCAGCGTGCGGGGCATTAGTACTGTCAAATGCAGTTTGCATTTCCTGCTAATGTGATTACAGCATCAATAAACTTGCACAACGGCATGATCCCTTGGGGGATGGCCACCTGGATAACCCATGAGCAGGATGGGTCACTGCCAAGGTTAAATATTACAAATGAAAATTAGGCTGCCACTGGGAGGAAGAATGTCTAGCTCTCAGGGTTGGGAAATCTTGGGACTGGGTCTTAAAATGTTGTGGTGGTCTTAAAATGCTGAAGACTGTGGTAGCTTCTTGAAGGGAATCTTAAATGCATATGGATAATTTATAGGAATAAAGAACACATGGCTATTTAGCGCTCATTCCTCTCCCCTTCCCCCTGTAACAATCCATGCACATCTAGCCCTATGTTAAATTTTGAAGTATAACTAGTTGATTTTTAATAAAATTTTCAACAGTTATTCTTCCTTCCATGACTTTATACCCTCTTGGGTTTTTAAAGCTCATTGTTTGTTTGTTTGTTATTCTTTTACAATTTTATTGTTTAAAGTATAGTGCTCATTGTTATTTTGACCCCAGAAGTTTGCTCTCTCCAAGTAGTGAGGGTCCCATAATTCAGCTTCAAAACTTGTCTGGCCAGATGACTGATTTGATGACAGGCTACTTAGAGCTAATACACAATCAATTGCTCATTACAGCTAAAAAGGATATACAGCCCAGAAAAAAAAAGTTTACATTTTAATTTGTGTCTGAATCTGAAATAAATACGTTGACTTTCGTACTCATTAGTAGAGCCCAGGCACAGAAATGTGTGAAGGGGCCTGCCTTCCTCAGCCCTCAGGTCAGAGCATGCACGGACTCCACGCCAGACTACTCAGCTAACCCCCTGGTCTTGTAGCTTCCTCCCCAGGTGCCCATTCTTCTAACGTTTCGAAATGTGGTTGCCAAAGCAGCTTTCCCTCATACCACCAGGCTTCCCTCTGCCCTCCACTCATTTTCCTCATTGAAACCTAGTTTCTTACCACAGTTTCAAGAACTCTTTAATACAATGCAATCTGTCACTTCTCCCCATCGCTTCTTTTCCTCTAGTCTAGCACATCTCAGCATGCCTTTCCCACAATTTCTCCTCTTCTAAGTTGAGGTATACTTACTATATAGTAAAATTTTTAAAATAGTGTTTTGGTAACATCTCCAATGCAAAATACAAGATTAATTGGCTTTGAAAAAGGAAAGTACAAGAAAGAAAAATACACAACCACCCATGTGTTCATATCCAGTGATGGCAAGAGCAAGAGACACAATGGAAGCAATAGTATTTACCTTCAGCCAAAATGATGCACCTTCTCACAATGGGAGGAGCTGAGGTAAAGGAGGTTATCAGGAGGATATGACTGCCAGTGGACCCACAAGCTGGACCTGGGCCATAGGAAGTTCCTCATACCTTCCCCTGCCCTCAGATCATACATCCTGTCTCCTGCTCTCACATGAGCTCTTCCAAGGGTGTAATCATGAGAGAATATGCTGTAAAGACCGTTGGAGTCTGTATACACGGCCGAACCCATTAAGGCCTTTATATAAACATTTAAGGTCTGGGTGGGCACGTGCAGAGATCTACTTGTCTGGCAGCATCTAAGACAAGTCCCCTGGTTTATTAATCCTGCCAGCTACCAATCCGGAGTGGTCTGCTTCTTTCTTTGGCCTCCCCTTCCCCTCTGTGAGTATAAGAGCCAGTTCAAGACCAAACAAAAGAGACAGGAGAGACTATTCAAATAAATTTGGGCCATGGGCAATTTAGTAAATAGGATCATTTTTTTTTAGATGGATGGAGCATGATATGAAAATACAACTACTTGTATTTCCATTTTTTTTTAAAGTTGGCGGTTTGGCTAATGAGTTGATTTGTTTTTATAAACCCAGATTCTCAGTGATCAGCACCAAAATGTGACTACAGATAATACAACTTATGTTAAAGCATATAAAAGGACCAGGGGTTGATCTCAGGTGGAACATTCCTGATGACCATGAGACACTCTACAGAATATTCCATGTCAGAAAGAACCAAAATCTGTCATCAATCATGTGGCTATTTCTAGTATACTTGGATGTTCCTTGTCATACAGACAAATTATCCAGACATCAAACTCTCTTGTTCAATTTCCACTTGAAAGCTTTGTGTCACGTAGATCTAGTCAACATCAAATTGATTTTTCCTTTTTCCCCCAAACATGGTAAGGATATTTCTGAAAACACTCGTGCTATATACCATGGCACAGAGAATATTGTTAGCAGGATATTCTAATTAACTGAGTAACACATTTAATTATGCCTATTTATAATGTATCATTGTTTTACTCCCATCCCTGTTCATATCTTATCTCTATTTTTTTTTTTTTTACAAAAAATTTCTTGAGGAAAAGACCTAAACTTGAGCATCTTCACTTATTGATGGTGTTTTTTGTATCATGCTTCCTATATGTTATTCCTGATTAATAGATGTTTTGGAATGGGTGTTCAAAGAGCTATATCACAAAATAAACTAAGTATTTCCAACATGAGTGTTGCTTTCCTGGGTATACAGAATGCATTTCAGAGTTTAGTGGGACTTCAAGGTTGCCATTACAAACCTTGAAGGTAGCCTAGCCGGTTTGGCTCAGTGAATGGAATGCTGGCCTGTGGACTGAAGGGCCCCGGGTTTAAATCTGCTCAAGGGCGCATGCCTGGGTTGCAGGCTCAATCTCCAGTAGGGAACATGCAGGAGGCAGCCAATCAATAATTATCTCTCATCATTGATGTTTCTATCTCTCTCTCCCTCTCCCTTTCTTTCTGAAATAAAAATATATTTAAAAAAACAACAACAAACAAACCTTGAAGGCAACTCAAGTGTAGAATGGGAAATGAAGGCGACTCAAATATAAAATGGGAAATGCTGTTTAATAAAGAGATAGGTGGTAAGCTAGGAGATCATGCCACAACCTTGCATGATTTCTAGTATTCTTAGAATAAAGACCACATTCCACGTAAGTCCCAACATGACTTACTCCCCGTCTATATTTCTGCACTTACAACCTGAGCTCACACATTCATTCTCTTCTTTTCCTTAGTCACATTTTTCTGTTTTTCTCATCCGGAGAGGTACCATAACTCCTCCTGCTACCAGCCCTTTTTCATGTTCTTCATCATCAGAAATTCTTCAATCTTTCCCTCTCCTTCCTTCCTTAAACAGCCAGTGATTCCTATTCCTAAGGAGGTCTTCTCAAACAGTTTCTTCTTTAAATGAGTGAAATTCCTTGGTTATATACTCATAGCACTCAGACACGTATTGCAGATTAAAATTATATATTTATATAGAGATCCCTGGAATAATGTGGACTTCCCCCACTATTCTCTAAGTGGCACCAAAGCAGGTTCTTGGTAGGTTTGTTCACTATCAGATCACCAGTGCCTAGCACATTGCTTTGCAAAAAGGAGTTGTTCAATGAATATTTTTGAATGGATCAATGAATAAACATAAACTATACTTCTTACTAATGTATTTATATGACACACCTGAATTTTTTAAAAATATATTTTATTGATTTTTTACAGAGAGGAGGAGAGAGGGATAGAGAGCTAGAAACGTCGATGAGAAAGAAACATCTACCAGCTGCCTTTTGCACACCCCCTACCGGGGATGTGCCCGCAACCAATGTACATGCCCCTGACCTGAATCGAACCTGGGACTTTTCAGTCCGCAGACTGATGCTCTACCACTGAGCCAAACCGGTTTCGGCCACACATGCATTTATAATTTGGAATAGTTATGCAAGGTTACATTTCAGGCTGGATGACTATTTTTAAACCTATTTTAAATAGCAGGTGAGTCATTAACTTTGATGTTATGAAACTCAGTTGAAACTCATTACTCTAAACCCAAGTCCTTTGTTTCCTTACTCAAATATACCACCCATGGTAGCCGTTAAATCAGGTGCCGATATGGAATTTGTAAGAGATTTTTGTCTATGTGAAAATAACTTTAGCCTCCTGGCTACAACATGAACCGATATTTATCTGTGAGAGCATTCACAGCAACATGACCCCTTTTGAATTCAAAGAATCAATGAAAATGCCAATTACTGCTAGATGGACAGGCAGAAAAGAATAATCTTGTCTGTACTTCTCTTGTCCCGGAGACTTATGCTCCTGTTCCATTTTCTGAGCAATCTAGTAAAATTCAATTTACCTTTTCAATTTGTCTCCAGCCAAGCTTCCTTCTGTCAGTTATGCAGACATTTCAGTGCTGGCCATGTAGAGTAGCAGGACCAAGAGAATGAAATTACCTGTGCATTTGCGATCTGTGTCTTCTTTCTTTGACCCACTAATCGTCAGCTTGCAGTTGAAGTTTTCCTCCCAGTATTCAGCAAACCAGACGTTTCTTCTGTTGTTTTCAAGTGTGCGGGTTGTAAAATAGGCATCAAACCCTAAAGAGAGTGGAATGAAAAGGTCAGAGTTTATTGCTTGCTGGGCACTGTTGGAACATTTGAAAACAAAATACTGGTTGTGGTTTTTCTTTGTTTTAGTAGATTAAATGCTCTTTTGTGTCAATCAAAGAAGAAAAATCATCATCAGAAAAAACAAAATTCTAATGCTAACCTATATCTATACCTCTGGTCTTTCAGGCAGATGTATGGCTTATAAATGACATTTTCTCAATAAAATCTGCATTAGAGAATTTAGGGATGATATAGTCCTCACAAGATGCCTTGCATCTCTGATGAACAAGACTAGGAACAAAGCATCTCTATAAACATCATCATCACCCCAAGAGAATAATGATCATTTTAGTTCTTACTATGGACCAGACTCTGGACTTTATATGGATTCTTTTACTCATCTCAATCTATGCAGTAGTTGCTATCATTCCTATTTTGTTGATGAACACAAGAGGTTTGATAAAATAATAATGTGCTCACGGTCAACAATTTCACCACATTCTGCATCTCTGCCTATGAGAGCTACTGACCTGTGAATGTCATTTTGAGAATCCTCTTTTGTTTAGGAATATCCCAGTATGCAATTGACTTTTCTAGTCAAAATAGAATTACATTTACAAAGAAGCCACTGGTAAATTGAGGTCAATGTTAGCTCAGTGCTAGTCACAAAAAGTTTGAGATGAGCAGAGACCAGAAAGGCCAGGTCCCCAGGAAATCTCTAGCTACCTCATTAGGATAGCACCACTTTAAATATCCCAATGAAGCCATATGGTCCTGTGAGAATCAGACTGGATTCAGTATCACAAAGGCTGGGCTTGAATTACAGCTCCACTCATCTCACTTAAGTGGTATAAACATAAGCAAGTACACACTTAACCTTTCAGTCTTCCTTTCATCAATCTGTAAGCATAAAGATGGTATAACCTCCTTCCTCTGTTTCTTATTTGTAATAGTGGGAAGACTAGGAACTTACAGAGTTTAAGGTCAAGACCATGGAGGAAGATGAACTTACTTTCACATTATTTAAGTTATTCAAAGTTCTCTTTAAATTTTAGAGTCATAAAAAAAAAAAAAAAAAAAAAATAGCGCCAGACTCTAAACTCCGTGAGAGGAGAACGGCAGGTTAATTTAATTCACCACTACTATCCCAGCATGGAAAACATGGCCTGGCATAGTGTAAGCCTGCTATAAATGGAAAACTTCAAGTAAGTAAACAAGACAGTAAAAAAAAAAAAAACAAACGGAAAGGGGGAAAAAATCCCTATAAAGTAAAGGATATTGTATAGCATTGTAGGGAAAATGAAAAATAATATTTTATATCCCTTAGGTCATTTTCCATGCTATTGTTAGGACATGATAGAACATAACAATGTCTTGATCAGGTACCCATAGGACTGTCCTTTCATAGCCACCATGTTAACTAATTTAAGATAATCCGGCTGTGGCACCTGATCACATTTTGATGTAGATAGTAATTGAATAATCTAACTGGCTGGAAGCCCTCCCCCCACTCACTCTTCTCCCATAACCCTGCCTCCAGACAATGCTCAGTAGGATAATGTAAAACTCTTAAATAAAGGGGAATCTATGTTTCTACAATCACTACATGTATGCACTTGGCTATGTACAAATATACAAGCACTTAGGGTACACATGAGGACTAGTGACCAACTTACATTTTCTCCTCCATCTTTGCCCTGCGCAATGGGTGGGAACTTGAGGTTGGTGGGAAGCAAGGGTGGTGGGTTGTGAGAAGGGGCCCAGATGGTCCTGAGCTTTGCATCTGGGTATAGTCCTCCTTATACACTGTATTCTTATCGTTGGGGCAGTGGACAAGGTAAAGCAAGCAGAGTGGCAACCTGGGCCCCTGTGGCTTCTCGAGAATTCTACTTGGAACCCAGCTGCCTGGATCTGAGAGGTTTGGGAGAGGTGAGGTCACGTGGTAAGAGAGGCTTCCAGCCAGATCCCAGCCGGACCCAGCCTCTCAGCAAAGCCTGTTTGCCGTTCCAGCCCCTTGCTGACTGCGGTAGAAGCAGCATTTAGCCCAGACCAGCCCAGCTGCAGAACTGGGGCCATTTCTCTTTTAAGCCGGGCACTTGAGGCCCTTTGCTATGCAGCCATGGGCACAGCCACAGGCAACTGAGACACCCCTTCATCGCCGCATCCCAGGCCCTCTCCCTGCAACACCAACACCACACTTCATAGGAGGCAGCATTCTCCACAGAATGCGAAGGGGCTTCAGAAACAAACTTTTCGGTCGCATGTCACAGGTCTGGACCCCAAACTCAGAATAGGAACTATTAAAAGTGGCTCAAAGGGTAGCCTGGATGCAATTATACTCTCCAGCTCAGAAGAAAACATCTTTGGAAGAAACCTCATATTTTAAAAGCCTATCACTTCAAAATGCCTCTCTTTGCTGCCTGTGTCCGCTGGATACTGATGAAGGAAGGACCAGTTTGCGGCTAACATGCAGGCCGGTGACTATGGCATATTTAACAGAGAAAAGGGAGGGGCAGCAGCAAGCATGTCCATTTTCCCCTGTTCTAAGTGAGAACTTACAGATTTCTGGGAAGAAAGGAGGCGCCACAGAGGCTGGCTGCACGGACCGGGCCGGTGGTGGATGAAGGGCCGGCTTTCTTAGCTCAAACCCTTGTCCTTTCACTCACATGTCAGACTGTCCTACTGGCTCAGCTTCCTCCTCCTCTTCCTTCTGCTGTTCCCCCTCCGGTAGACTGAGCACTGCTTTTCTTTTGTAAATGCCTTCTATATGTGCTGCCTGGGCTGCCATGAGATGCAGATTTTAATTCAGAAGCCCTGGGGTGGACCAGAGGAGCTGCACCTGTAACATGCCCAGCTGACACTCCTGCTGCTCGTACTTTAAGGCTCTTGGGGGAAACGCTACATTTTTAACAAGCTCCAGGTGATGCTCACGCTGCCCATACAACAACCCCAGCCCTCCTGGTTAAGACTTAATTGTTAAGGCAGTGGTCGGCAAACTCATTACTCAACAGAGCTAACTATCAACAGTACAACGATTGAAATTTCTTCTGAGAGCCAAATTTTTCAAACTTAAACTTCTTCTAATGCCACCTCTTCAAAATAGACTCGCCCAGGCCATGGTGTTTTGTGGAAGAGCCACACTCAAGGGGCCAAAGAGCCACTTGTGGCTCGCGAGCCCCCGTTTGCCGACCATGGCATTAAGGTCTAAGCATTACCATCCTCTCGGCCTCAAGTTCCGCCTTGGTTCAGAAGAGAGGGTCTTTGCTCTGCTTGTGCAGTTGAGACTTTTGCTCAGTATGGAAGGAGCCCTACCTTGCCCTCCTGTTGCCTGTAGATGACTAAGGTGACCAGACATCCCGCTTTTTAATTTGTCCTTCATCCCGCGGCGTTGTAAAAAAAAAAAAATCCTGATTCTTCCCACGGGACACGGGACAAATTGTTAAAAAGCAGGATGTCTGGTCACCTTCCTCTCCAGGGGGAGAGCGTGCAGTTGCCTGTTGATGGGTTTCCCTGGGATGCTCCCTCTGTGTTTCCCCAGCATTGCTGCTCTGGGTCTGGAACTGAACACACACTATATCCCAGGTATTGGGATGGGTGAGTCAATCAAAATGGTAAACCCGGCTACATGGGCTGGCAGTGCTGCAGCAAAAGCTGGTTTCAGAACACAGAGCACTTAGATCACTCAGAGCACAGAGGCAGAGGTCAAATGGATGTGATTCAATTTACTAGTGAGTCCGTGCCTGATTGCCTCAGCTGAGTCACATTTCTTTCAGGACCGAACAATGTGTTTACTTCTTTTAGCAGAGGCTCTGGCGAAAGATAAATTAATTCTTATTGGTTCCTTCTACTGTTTTTTCAATCAAAAGGAATAAAATTGTCTGTGGGATGTTTTCAAAAGAGATTTCGCTGTGGCAAACATTCACAATGCCTTGCGTTCAGGCACTCTCCATTCCTCTGCTTTATTAGGTAGACTAGACGCAGTGTTTCCCAACCTTCTCTCATGATGAGAATCACCTGGTGGAGTTGTTAAAACACAGATTCCCGGATCCCAACTAAGAAGTGCTAAACTAGAATTTTTGAGAACATATAGGTAAAATTGCATACCTAACTTAGTGCTCTGTATATAAAATCTGTCTTAGAGCACTAGTTAAGTATGCAATTTTACCTATATGTTCTCAAAAATTCTAGTTTAGCACTTCTTAGTTGGGATCCGGGAATCTGTGTTTTAACAACTCCACCAGGTGATTCTCATCATGAGAGAAGGTTGGGAAACACTGGACTAGAGGACCAATGCATGAAATTCTTGCAAGAGTAGGCTTGCATTCCCCTAGCTGCCGGCACCTGCTTCTCTCTGGCACCTGGGACCCAGGCTTCTCTCCAGCCCTGGCTTTGTCCAAAAGGATATCCGGAATGACATCCAGAATGATATCTGGTCTAATTAGCATATTATCCTTTTATTATTCTAGATACTGGGCTCTGTTATGCACTGGCCCAAAGCTTTCCCTCTGGCTTCAGCCATTAACCATTACCCTTGATTTTTTCATTAGTTTCTGTAGCCTGATGATTTTGCCTATCTTCTCTTAGGAATAGGAGATTCAATACAAGGTACACTGTGGCTAAGATGCAACACAGAGAGAAGCAAAAATTAGTGTACCTCTAAACCATTGTGTGTGTGCATCACAGTGAATTGAGGCTTTTTCTCATTCCTACTAGAGCTCCGAAGAAAAGTGATCTGGATACACAATAAAGGTGTGATTAAATTATTAAGAGTTTTTCAAAGTAACCCAAGGCACGGAGAGTAGGATTTCAGTTCACAGGAGACAGAATCCGATTTATATCAAAGGAGAAAGATCGTTCTTTTATATGGTGCAGGCAAATTATTATAATAAAATTATTCCTTTTCGGGGGGTTGGGGGGGGGGATAGAGGGAATTATTTAACATCAGAATTTAATCTCCAGGTGGATTAAAGCAAAAGTCCTTTTGGGTC